AATAGTATATATATATATATATGTTAGATAAATAAATATTTTATTCTTTCAATCACCATCTTGTTTTGCATTCATCATGTGTATAGAAGAAATAAGGTAACGCTCGTCTACATTCGTCCGTTAACTTTAGAAATTTATGTTTACGAACGACCTTTTAAGACTTTTGAATCCAAGATAACACTCACGTCTCGATTCGGTCGGTGTTCGTTAGGAGACAATCTAAAATACGTTGTGAATTTTTTCTCTAATTTGATGTGCAAGGCTCATAATCTAATGTAAATCTAAAATGTTTCTTGAGACCCTCCGAAGATACCCAGAAATTTATAAAAATTCCTAAATTCAAGACAATACTCGAGCCTTTATTCGGTCGGTGTTCGCAGCTAGGTTAACTGAGAATATATTGTGAATTTTTTCCACGGAAAAAGCGCCCAATGTAGCGCGCTCCGAATTCAAACATACGTTCTTGCTTTTTCTTACAAACATCTGATAGAGTAGTCTGTTCCGAGTTCTCGTTTTTTTGAAAAAGTCCGGATGTTCGGAACGGTAACTGCATCCAGAAAAACGACTTTATGCTGTATGGACCCGATTCCAAGCATCCCGTCATTTGATCGGGTGTCCGGAAGACCACAGACGAGAAGGACAGCCCCTCCAATCGCAAACAGAGTAGTTTTTTTTGTAAACAGGTGGAGCCTTGATTCGGACGCCATTCGAATCTCTTGGAACGTAGAGTAAAACTATGTATCGCTTATTTGAAATTTCTCTCCATTGCTGAGAAATTTCACTTTTCCTAAATCAGGGGCAAAAAGGTCAGAATTATGACTATGTTTTTCAATTTTCTCCATTAGAACTTACTTTTGTGCAAGAAAAGTAACATATTCGGAGTCAGCGTCGAAAACTGAGTAGAATGTTTTGAAAATTTTCGTTGATTTTCATTTTTTAGCGAAAATCTCAGTAATTCCAAAAAATTTCAAAAAAAGCGGTACGTACTTTTATTCTACGTTCCAAGGCGGTTCGAATGGCGTCAGTATCAACGCTCCAGCTCTTTACAGAAAAACTAGATAGGTTTGCGAGTGAACAGGGTCGAAATCGGACTCTTCCAAAGTTTGACGAGAGATTGAACACTTATCATGGCTCTAGAATCTTGAAATACACTTCTCTATATGCAGTCTTTCACGCTGACTTCGAAAAACACTTTTGAAAGGTTTCAGAATCACGTGACACCGAGATGTAGTCTGATTTTTGAAAAGTTGTCATTGTTCAAAAAAATGGCCTCTAATACCTTGAATTTTTCTCGTCGAAAATGTGCACTAGGCGGACTGAAAGTAAGATATTCGTGGTCAGCGTGAAAAACTGCATCGAATGGTGGTGTATCTTTAAGTTAAAAATAAAATAGTGCTTTATGTTTGAATTTGGAACATCTTAATATAAAGCTAAAATGTTTTCTTGATACTCTCTGAAGATCCCAAGGGGACTGGAAATATTTTTTAATTGATTCACTATGATAGATTATTTATATTCTGGAAGTTTTATTATTCGTAGATGACTTTTTCCGTGTTATCAAAGTTGACTGCTTTCTAGTGGCACCCATCTCCGAATTACAGAAAAAGTTTGCTTAGCTTTTCCTCTCTCTCTTTCTGCGTTAGTAGATATTTTAGATCATCCCTTTAAATATTTCCTTGACTTTAGTCTAGGGTCTTACAAAACGCTTGTCTGGATCTATAGTAAAAAATGCCTCACGTCTAACAAGTCGTACAAGTGTGTAATCGTGTTTCAAGACGCTCGTGACTATGATGAATGAGAACTTTCTTCAAAATTCAAAAAAACGTTTATTCATTTTGTTTTCTAAGATGAGTAAGTCAAACATGCAGTCAAAATAAGGTTTCCTCGGTTTATAGCAATCTATTTACTGTGATTTTTAGTATAAATATAACTCTCTTCTTCATCATCATTTTGTTTTCTAGCTGTGATGTACATTTAATAGCATTTAATATGCTTATCACATCGTCTTAGTGTTGCTTCTTATACAATCGCTTCTTTCCACTTCTAACCATTATTGTCATTGATTTTGCTTTGTGCTATCAAAAATAAAGGTTATTGAGCTACGCTTGAGAGATTACATTAATACGAACGTTTCAAATATGCATCATTTTTCGCCTTCACAAATTTTATTTGTTCTGGTTTTCATTTACACACCGACGTACATACACACAGATGTTAGAGTGACTAATATACTCTTGCAGTTCTTTCAATGATCAAAGTAATCAATTAGAAACAACAACATCTTCAGTATTGAGCCAGTTAGAGAATGAATACGATGATGATGATACAGTAGTTGTATACACAAATTATACAGTCTCTTTCGTCTATAGGTGTCTAACTTTCTAAATTCTGTACTTTCTAAATGCCCCAACGTTTGACTTTCTAAATTAGACGCTAGTCACTGAGAAAGTAAGATATTTGGACATTTACATATTTACAAAGGTAGAAGTTTAGACATTTAGAAACTTAAAAGCTAGGCTTTTGGAAATACGATAGTTAGATATTCAGACATATACACAGTCAGAAGTTCAGGTGTCTAAATGTCTGAATATCTAACTTTCTAAATGTATACATGTCTAAACTTGTAACATTGTATATGTTTAAATGCCTAACTCTAGCCGTGAGTTTTTCCCTGACATTCGGACACGGACAGTGGACTATTTTCAGACGACTGTTGATCGATATTTTACGGATATGTTACAGTTGGTTGATAAAACCATCATGGGCCTAACTTTCTTACTTTCTAAATACAGTGGGTCCACAAATTATTCGTCCACCACTAGTCTGCCCTTTTGCATTTTCTGCCATTCCAAAACGAAACGAGGTACAGAGCTCAGTACTTATCATTTTAAAGAGCATTATCGATATTCTACGTGCAAAAACTTCCACCTCTTGATGTACTTTTATTTTTTTTCTAATAATATAACAGGATAAGGTGGACGAATAAGTTTTCCACCCACTGTATAGATGTGTCTGACTTTCTTGATATTGAATTTGAGATGGGTCCGATTTTCGTTCTAATTGCACGCTCTCCTTTAGAAAGTCAGACAAATCTATATAGCTGGCGGAAAAATTATTCGTCCACCTTATCCTGTTATGTTATTAGAAAAAGAAATAAAAGTACATCAAGAGGTGAAAGCTTTTGCACGTAGAGTATCGACAATGCTCTTTAAAATGATAAGTGTTGGGCTCTGTACCTTATTTCGTTTTGGAATGGCAGAAAATGTAAAAAAGCAGACTAGTGGTGGACGAATAATTTTACTAATTTCAAATTAATTTAAACTAATGTCTTACCAAGAAAAACTTGAAAAATGAATTCACATCAAATTTGAGATGTCCAACTTGATCTCAATTAATTTGCATAAATTTTGACAGCTAAAATTAATTTAAATAATTTCTATGCTATAATTGATTCTGATTAGCTTGAAAAATATGAATTTCAAGTAATTTAAAATAAATTAGTGTGAATTTGTAAACTAGAAGAATGGAAAACGTCTCTGAAGTTTCATATTATCTCTGTTGTACCGAGGGTCTAAATCACTAATGAGGAAACCTATGGGCATGTCTGACCTCAATTTCGTTCGTTCATACGTCAGTCGATAGAGGGTAGCGAGCTTTTTCTGTAAAACCAGCTTTTCAGAAACTCTAGAAAAGTAATCAACAGCCTTCTTAATAAGTCCTGATTGTAGCCCATCAATTTTTGATTAAAATGAGACATCTCCCAGCTCTACACGATCTTTCTTTGCTAAGTTATAGAACTTACAAGAAAGCTCTAATTTAATTTCTTATTTCTGTAGCTTCGAGCTGACAATGAACATTTAGGGCTTTTCTTGTAAATTCTACAACTGTGCAAAGAAAGGCCATGCAGAGGTAGGAGATGTCTCATTTTAATCAGAAATGTGCGGGCTACAATCATGCCTCATTAGAAGAAGGTTTTGCTTAATTTGAAAAACTGGTTTTGTCAGCACAGGAAAGTAATAGTAAAAAAACGAAACATTAGTTTGTTGCGCACAAAATGACGAAAGAATGACGACGCTATGTCTTGACCGAAAAAACTAGATAGATTTGCAAAATTCGGTAGCGCCAATGGAGTAATTCAGTCTTATGTGTTTCCAGAACGGATATGTTATATACGATCAGGCTCTAGACCACATGTATGTATAGATCCATTTTACATGAGAAATCAAAAATCACATGTGTGAGATTGAAAAGTAAAATGGGGAGGAGAAAAACGCAGTTTTGTCAAAGCTAATTTTTATATCTTTTTAGAGTTTCTGAAAAACTGATTTTCCAGAAAACCGACTCTTCAAGAGCCGTCGACAGATATTCGTTTAGACTTTTTACAGGCTCGATACCCTCTATCCACTGACGAATGAACGAACGAAATTGGGGTCAAACATGTCCGTAGATTTCCTCGTAAGTAACAATTAGCGATGTTAAAAAAATTCAGCAATAAATCCATCAATTCATATACTCTAACAAAAGTCCTTAACAATACCATGACGAAGAGTATTATGTCGACAATATTCCGATATGTTTACAATACAATAAAAGTGAGATTCAAGATACCTACTAACAATTTAGTTAAGTATAAACTTTAAACACTTTACTTTATACATATAATAAAGCTCAAAACAGTGATGCGACAGCTGGACTTCTTCGACCATTGACAAAGAAACAGTTTTCTTAAATGAGCGATTTGTTCGATAATGTATAGTTCGTCGAAGCTACTGTTCAGTGCAATAAATATTGTAGTTAGTTAAGACAGCACATCGATCTTAATTTAGGTGTTCGATGGAAACATATGTTTATAATTGGTGTTTAGTTCCAAAAACGTTTGATTGATTTGTTCTCTTGATGCTAATCTATTCTCATTGGACTTTTTATAACCAATTTCTTGTTCACCGCTTTTTATTCTTTCGAATATATGATCAGTAAACTCATCCACCGGCTCTCCAAATGGATGTCCACCGCCTAAGTCTGTTCTCACAGGTGGCGGTATTATTTCATATACATCAATATTTGAATTATTTAAATCAAAACGTAAACTAACAGTGAAATTATGTAAAGCTGATGATGATCTACACTTATGTGAACGTGAACTACGCCTCTATTATGCGTCTGTATTAGTTCACTATTATACTGCATGATATATGGATAAACATATGCTTTTGTTGCACCATATACGGGTGCAAATGCTGGAGGTATAAACGCTAGATCAGACGTTATGTTTATAATAGCTGATTGTTGTTTGCCTTTTAATAAGTGCGGTATGAACAATGAACACAAGTGAACAGGAGCTGAAAAATTAATATCTATTTCTTTTTGACGTTCTGACCATGGTGTATTAAAATCGTTCATCATCGATATTCGTCGTTGTATACCTGCATTATTAACCAGAATATTCATCGAAGGATAATGCGTAATTATCCAGTGAAACAATTCAATACGATCATTTTCTTTCCCAATATCACCAAGATGACAATGTAATCTATCACTATTAAGTTTTTCTTTTGCATCTTTTAGACGATCTTCTCGACAATCTGATATTATTACTGTACTACCAGCTTGCAAAAACTTTTGTACTAAACTATAACCAATTCCATTGCCACCACCTGTAATTAAAACGGTTGATGAGTTTAAATTCAATGGTGTAAAATAGTGATCATGAAGAAGCTCAGATACACTCATTTATAATCTTAAAAGAGAGAATTTATTAAAAATTCATGTCTGCTTATCACATCGTCTTAGTGTTGCTTCTTATGCAATCGCTTCTTTCCACTTCTAAGCATTATTCTCAATGATTCGCTTTGTGCTATCAAAAATAAAGGTTATTTAGCTACGCTTGAGAGATTACATTAATACCGACGCTTCACATATGCATCATTTTTCTTCCTTCACAGTTTTGTTTGTTGTGGTGAGTAGTAAACCTAACAACAAATAATGTGGTCCGTAAACACATCTGTTTCTATCTTGCGTTTGACAGAGATGTATCGTTCTTTGTCCGAGCAACCTATCTGCAGATGTTAAGAGCCGGCGGGATATTTTGCTCGATCACGTAAATGACATCATGTGTCTTTGCATTTCTACATGTGTGAGAACTCCGTAATCTATGCTGGTCTCTAACCACTTGACTCTTCGAATTTGTTCTGCTTGACTCTTTTCAAGCTAATAAAGCTTCAATCACACTAGAGAAACTCCATCACTATACGACAGTCGCTGTCTTCAGCTTCGGAACGACCAACTTTTGTTTCCAATAACAATAAATTGACTTAAAATCATTTAGCTCGTGTCTACAGAACGTGATACAGATGACGATTTTACACTCAGATAACACGATCGAAATTCGTTCCACCAAAATATATAGAAATCATAATCTGTGGATAGTGCAATCATTTAAAAATGAATTATTTAGATATTTATTAACGATGAATGGCGCAATAGCATAGAAGGCAAGACATTTTCTGTGATCAACCCAGCTACAGGTGGGAAATTTGTCAAGTGGAAAAAGGAACAAAAGTAGAAGTCGTAACATATGGTAGGAATTCGTTGCATTAAAGGGAAATGGTCTACAGAGCGACATGCACGTGTTCAGCGTATGAACTGCTTGATACAGAGTTTAAAAGAATCAGGTAAGTCGCTAAACAATATGGGTACCAGTTGTAGAAAAAATCATTAATATTAAATTAAATCAGTAATAAAGACAAACAGCAAACACTACATATTGTATCTTCGTTGGTTGTTAAATTTGTGAAACAAACGCCAATCTTCGCAACCCATTTTCTTTCCCTTTGTAATATCGAAATTTGGTAATGTATTACATTCGATATTACATTTCGCAGTGTATTATATGAAATCCGTTGTTGCATGGGATCTTTGTATAATTGTATTCTTTTCACTTCTCTCATCTTTTCGTTTTTAATGCGCGGAATTAAAACACAAGCCAAACACTTGTAATTGTATCCGTATTTTTACTCTTTATATGCGTACGTGGAAAGAACGAAAACAAAATGAAAACATATTAGGCAGAAGAAAATAACTGTACTAGCCTCATTTCTATGTACGATCTTGAAGACGGTCGAAATAATAGGCCGAAATATTGAAATTTATACTGTATTTTAATTTTAAACTTTTCTCAAAAGACATATTAATTGATCGACATATTAATTAATCGACTCATGTTCGCCGCAAATATCTTAAAATATAGTAGGAATGTCCTCTATAGTATAGTTATATATCGTTTTAGCCTGACATAGAATTAGCCGTTCAAGCAGCACGTCGAGTATTGAAAAAAAGATATCCGCTAGATCGACGGTTATTTTAGAAAGAAGCGATTCATCCACCCCTTTTTAAAACATATCCGCGTTTCTCTCAGATCATATTTTTTCGAAAAGTTTTGGCTAGAATTGCCTATCAAGATGGAGTTTCTCTAGTGTGATTGAAGCTTTATTAGCTTGAAAAGAGTCAAGCAGAACAAATTC